TTTTGCAAGGGAAGTCCTCTTCGGTTCTTCGAACCCTATGGTGGTCATCCTCTTTGGAGAATTCTGGGAGTTGAAGTCCACATATCTTCAAATTTTCAAGGTTCTTTGGCTTCAACTTTGGTGGTTGGAAAATTCTGGGAATTGAGGTCCACAGAACTTCCAAGTTGCCAAGGTTGGGAAATCCTGCTCTAGGAGACTGAGCGTACTATAAGAAAGGAGTGGAGCTACAAGTCAAAAGGGGAGGAATTTGCCTGAATCAAAGGCAAAACAAATCCCATACTTTGGGTCTAACAATGAAAAAGTCCATAGAGTGACCTCAGTTTGATCCTCTGATCCTTTGGACTCTTGGCTATGCCAAGGAATGTGGGCCTGGCTGATGAAGCATCCTTTGCTTGGCAAGTAATCTTACCCTTACATTTAAATCATCTGGTGGCCAAAACATCTGGTTTTGACCACTGTCAGTGACAGGTCCTGGATGAGAATGAAGCTTGCAGTCGTCCTGGCTGACCCCAGTGTTTACAAGTCCTTTTCCGCTGATTTTTATTAGTGGAGCCCAAATGACTCCCTTGTGCAGCATGGTATTTGGTGCATTGTGTAAATTACACACTTGGGAAACAGCTACTCACTGGGTGCTCATTCATGGAGAGCGCGTTGTCTTCTGGAGCGTTCCTGCTCTGACGTGGAATGATTTCCATTTCGAGGTTGCTTGAAATTGGTCCACCTGGAAGACATCGACAGGTGGAAGGAAGCACATTTCAACGCAACCAGAGACATTTCCTTCTCCTGAGAGGTTTAACCGAAGATGATGCCAAAGAGGGGCTGATCCAGCCCCTGGGAAGGGAAAGGAATTAAAATTTGCCTTCCAATTTCCTGAAAATGTTCTTCTCCAAAGAGTTTCAACTGTTTCTTCCTTAGCAGATCTCCAACAGGCTTATCCAGCAGTTTCAGTGATAGGCAGCCTTGCCAGGGTGCCAGGATATCACTATCGTCACACTGAAGCATTGTGGGAAATTAAGACAATCCCTTCCATCCTTGCTTTCGTTCGCCAGGGTGGATAGGATCATTGATGGGAAATATCTCTGAACTGGGAAAGAGGGAGAGAGAAATAATTCTCCTCTGAGGGTTTGCTCCATCAGATACACAGCTGACCTGCCCCTGATAATATGGGGGGATCTGGATCCTTTGGGGCCTCTAAGAAGTCATTAAGGACTTGATTTCTAAAGGCTCATGTACCTTATATATATAGAGAAAGACAGAGAGAGGGGGGAAAGAGAGAGAGAGGGAGGGAGGGACAGAGGGAGAGGGGGAGGGGGAGAGGGAGAAGGAGAGAGGGAGAGAGCGCTAATATGTTTTGTGTATGTATGCATATCGTATTTATGTGTGTATGTATAGTGTCTGTATGCATATATAATGTGTATGATATGTATTATTTTATACACTGCATATATGTGTGTGTGTGTATGTATAGAGTATGTGTGTGTATATATGTGTGTGTGTGTGTATATATATATATATATATACACACACACACACACATACAAATTGTGTGTGTGTGTGTGTGTATTAAAAGCAAAACTATAATGACGTGGGAAAATACCTGAACAAAGCTGAATACCATACATGTAAGTACCCGCAAAAACTTAAGAATATATAAGAATATATACATACATACATACATACATACATACATATTGCATATAGATATATATTGCATATAGATATATATTGCATATAGATATATATTGTGTATGTGTGTGTAAATGCTGTAAACGCAGGGAACCTGTGAGCAGATTAGGCCACAAGGCAGCCTTGTGGGTGCTTGGCATAAGAGCATCTATTTATAAGCCCCCTAACTCTGAAAGTCAGAACTGTTCCCCAAAGTGGGTCAGACTGTCTACCAACAGAGCGGCTTGAGGTTAGCCACAGAACATTTGCCTCTTGCTAGGCAGGAGCTGACTGGGTGGGAAGGGTTGAAGAAGAGTGGAGAAGTTACAAGAACAAAAGAGAGAGGGAGAGAGGGAGAGAGAAATAGAACTAATTTCTTTTTTAAAATGAGGTTAAGACAGTACTTCATCATTTGAGAAAGTAGGCTGGGTAGTTTGGGTGGGTGGGTGGGAGATCAAATGTCAGCTGCCTAGATTTATATGTACTTTTTGGATTTTGGAGACAATCATTGGGAATCATGCTGAAAGTCGCCACACAGCGTGTAGAAGCCAGGAGGCCCCTGCAGGGAACCAGTTTTAAAAAGGTTTACTCAATGGGGCTTGGGTTGGTGGTGGAGGAATATTCCACTTTCTTTTTTTTTTTTTCTTCCTTTAAAAAACTCCTGCTCTTTTAAATACGTCACTTAGCAAGAAATGTTTCTTGCTAATGTTTGCTTTGAATGTACAAAAATGCCAGCCTTGATCATAGCCAGCCAGCTGGGAAAGGCTCAGATTTAAAACAAAACTATCTTCATATTCAAAATATTCTCAGCCAGCAGAGGAAGGCGGGGGGGCGGGAAACCCCATTTCATGGCTGCATAGTAGAAGTAAGTTGAATTCTCTGCTCAGAAGACCAAGAAAGAAGAAGATTCAATAAAAGTTGGGGTTTCTATCACAACATGATTTATGAGTCTTACCCAAAATCTAAGTGAAGTTTTCTTATGAACACGCACAGGGGTTGCAAAGTGTCACTTTTCTCTAAAGGAGGAGTGTCTAATCTTGGTCATGGCTGGCCAGGGAATTCTGGAACTTGAAGTCCTGAAATCCACAAGTCTTAAAAGAGGCCCAGGTTGGACACACCTTCTCTAAAGCATGACTGCCTGGAGAATTCTGGGACTTGAGCCCCTTCCTGAAGTTGCCAGGATTCATGGTTATAAAAGAAGTCCCTTACACGAGATCATTCATTGGTTGACCTTCTCTGTTAAACTTGTTTGCTATAATCTTTGGTAGATTTTTCTCCTGGCTTGGACTCAACACAGGGACTAACGCCATGCTGAAAAGTGTTTCGCAGCTGTTTTCTACTCACCTCACTCAACTTGATGGAAAATAAAATTTATTTCCCCCTCTTCCCAAGAATGAACTGCACATAAATGCTAGATGGGAGTTAGTCTCTGATGTTAATTGGAAAGTGGCTGCTGAGAGGAGAATAGGAGTGTCTGGTCTTCCAGACCACATTCTCCTGGCGTTCTCCTGCATCTTCCTGACTGATCATGTCTTGATTTAGAAGATATTCCTCTGCACCCACGTTCCAAGTGACTAACCGTGCTTTCGTTAAAAGAGGATGGAATTATTCCCAAGATCTCTTTTCCAAGCAGGGCACAAAAAAGGCCGCAAAGGCATTCATGGCTTGAGGGTGGGAGGGAGTCTTTGTAAAACAACCCCCCAAAACTAAGATGAGGGCAATGACTATGTGAATAGAACCCTGCCCCTTTGTGTCACATGGATCTGCTTCACAGTGATGAAGATCAAGGTACCAAGAGAAGGGAATATTGGTAGCTCGGGGTTGAATTGTGGAGTCCTTAGTCCTTGATTTTTGAAGAGCAAGGGGTCTGAAAACTCAAACCCAATCAGAAATGTAGACTATATCTCAAAAAAAAAAAAAAATTAGCTCAGAAATGCCACTCCCAGAATGTCTAATGCCTGGAACATTCTTAAGAAGAGGAAGAGAAGCTTTGGGGAAATCAAAGATAGTTTTGGATGCTGAATGACTTGAGGCTGAACATTGTAGAGCCCTCATCAAGAATGGAGCTAGGATGAATGTTTTGAAGATGTTTGAGCTAGAACTTCTGTGCTACCTCCACTGATTTTCCACAAGTTCCACCCATTGCACCGGGGACAAATGGAACCTCAACTCCCGTCATCTTCAACCACATGCCAAACATCTGGATGACCATGAATGGCTAGGAGACCATGCTGCTCTTCCTGGAGGGACAAGATAGGGGAAAGGGGGCTGCAACATCACTTTAGCTCAGAAGACAGGGTCTTCTCTTCTCTTCTCTTCTCTTCTCTTCTCTTCTCTTCTCTTCTCCAACAAAGGAGCCTATATAAAAACTTGTGCAGAGAGCTGTGACACACCCTCTTCAGACTGAAATTTCTGGTGACATCTTGCTTATGCAGTCAGGGATCCCTGGGAGCTGGCAAGGTCTCTGTTCTCCTTTGCTGCCGAGAAGACACAGCTCACAGCTCATAGTTGACCCCTCCTAACTTCTATTTGGGAAGGTCCAATGTGCCATTAATTAGGATTCTGGGGACACAGTAATATTTAGCAAGCTCGTTCTCCAGTGGGTGCCCGCTTGCAAACCAGCAAGATTGAGACTAAGTATTATTCAAAATGAGTATAGATCTACCTTGTCCTTGTCCTTATGGGCTGGACCCTTAGACCAGTGCTTCCCAAACGTTTTTCTTCATTACTTCAAATCGCTTATCAGAAAGTCATTTTTACTCAACGTAGGTAAATCCCTTTTGTATCAATGTAAGTGTCCCTGTTGAAATTGGGTTGGTTGGTTGCTAACCAAAGAAAAACTACCTTTTATCCAATTTGGGGTATAATTTACCCTAGTTTAGGAAGTTCTGTATTAGACCAGTCAGTTCTTTCTTCCCCACTCACCTGTGAAATGTATTATGAAGGTAAATGTTTCATATTTGTTTAAGAAGGAATCTTCTACCTATCTCTTGTCTAACTGTCCCAGAGACATAGAGCTGCAAGGTTCATCTTCCTGAAACACAGTATTCTAAGACAGGATTCTTCAAACTTGGAAGCTTTAAGACTTGTGGACTTCAGCCTCCAGAATTCCTCAGCAAGCCATGGCTGGTTGATGAATTCTGGGAGTTGAAGTCCACAAGTCTTAAAATTAGAACCCCACCCACACCCCACCCCTGTTTTAAGCTTTTTGTTTGAATGAGTAGGAAACAGGAATAACTTGAAGGAACACCATTCATCGTTTGAAAAGCTTGCTCGTTGCAGGACTCAAAATAATCACATTTTTTTTTCATTCTCTCTTCTTGTATTACAGGTCTATAGAATACTGCAGAAGTGTTCCCTTGGAAGAGTATTGTTTGCACACCTCTTATTTCCACCGAGCAGAAAATGGCTAAGAATCCTAGCATTCCTTGGCTCATCCCACCAACTCTCCTCCTCTTCCTGACTCCTGGCATCCACTCTTTCTTCTTGCCTAATGCCACCCTTTTGGAAAACATCCTTAATCAATACCAAGGTGGGCAACCCCACGCAAGGGGAAAGAGATCCATTTCCAGAAGTGACCAAGATGAAATCCTGATGCTTCATAATAAATTGAGAGGGGAAGTCTACCCTTCAGCATCCAACATGGAATACATGGTGAGTTCGAAAGGCTGGAGGTGCATAAATCCATAGCCATCGGTGATACACTGATTCTGTGCAGCATTTTGGGAAAATCAGATGGAACAAGAAAGGGAGATGCGGATGAAGTTAGCATGGTGTATTGGGGATGAGAGCACCCAAGCTTTGTTCATAGATTTTTTTATTCTTTCTAATCATTCTATCTATTTGGTTTCAATATCTCTGTTTTTTTTTGTTTGATTTTATGGTAAACTAACAGAACACCTCAACAGCTAACAGCATAATAAATTAGAAAGAAAATAGACAGAAAGACAGTGCACAGATTAGAGTGATAGATAGATAAATAAAGATTGATAGATGATAGATAGATGACAGGTAGATAGATAAATAGGATATATTTAAATAGAGAGGTAGAGAGAGAGGAAGGTAGACAGGTAGAGAGATGATAGATAGATAGATAGATAGATAGATAGATAGATAGATAGATAGAT